TCTCACCAGAAATAGTTAAAGAAAAAATTAAGAATATTCTTGCCATAACATTCATTCCTTGTTTAATCACTATAGCGGCTCCCAACCGTTTCTATATCCCGCACCCCTAGAACGCTTCTGATATATTCTCGTACTCCTTACAAAAGTTCAAAATAACGAATTATGTATATACACTATAATTTTGAAACTTCTAAACCCAAGTTTTCACACCCCCTGGAATATCGTCTCACACCCCCAGGGGGTGCGAGCACCCCTGGGTTGGGAACCCCTGATCTAAGGCATACAAGGGTCAATTCATTACAGGCACTGTGTAGGTTCACATGTTAAATTAAGCTATGGTTTGTTCAGCTATATTTTGTTGGAAAAAAACCCACAATTGCCTAGTTTCACACATTGTTTTACGCCTGTCAAATACCACAATAGCTGGATGCACATAAAATGCTATGCCCAAAGCAAACAAATATAATTATGGCTTATTGTGATGTCTCATTTTCTTATTGTGTATTATTGCCTTGTATAATCCAGTTATTTCCTATTATTTGGTTCAAGACAGCACATGACCAACCCATGTTTTGAAGTATACTGCTGATATAATGTTATCATGCAAAATATTTCCTATTTCCTGGCCAAGCTATGCTGAAGGAGCTGACACAATTTTGTGTATCAAAAATGAGACAAGAACCAATTACATGCACTTTTATCCTACCTAATCTAGCAGGCATTTCTATGGTGTATTCTACAGAATACAAAAAAGGCAAGAAAGGGGCTAAACCAGTGGTGGGATTCAAATATGAGAACAACCGGTTCTCTGTATGGATGCCATTCTGGGCTTGGGTAACAAAAAAACAGCTACCGGTTCTGCCGAAGTGGTGCGAACTGGCTGAATCCCACCATTGGGCTAAACACAGTACACATCATATTTTTCATATATTAAAAAAAAAACCTTTTTTAATTATTTAGTATATTTAAACAAACATTTGCTCAGGACTTTGCAAGATGAGGACCTACAACCCTAATTGTCTAAAACAGTATGTGTTACTGTTGGTCATTATGACCTTGATTTAGTGCTTCTAGTATTCAAAGGTCCTTCAAGCCCCAGCCCCATTTCAAGGGTCTTCAAGTGATCAATTCAGATAAGCCATCTCAACAGATTGTCTCTGAGGCACCTTAAAAGTAATTGTCACTTCAGATGCAAAAAAAAAAAAAAGCAATCCTATTCAGTTCAATTTATTATTATTGCAGTAAAGACATATAACCATTAAGATTTGGAGTGAGTGAAAGCTTGATACTTAGCTAAAATCAACATCTGTACCCATAGTTCTACTGTATATGGTGGTATGAGCTTTAATTGACATTTATCAGTAACTGATATCCCCTTTCCCCAATTAGTATTTTAAATATTTTATTGTGTTTGCTGGGTTATGGAAAACACCTCTCTGTACTTTCTAGAACAAAGAAAAGTCACAAATGATAAACAATGTAACACTGACCTATTCCCAAAGATGTTGTAAGATTGAAGGAATAATATTACTGTCACGTTATATACTATTTTTAACTTTCCTTCAACATACGAACTTATTAAGTGCCTGCAGTATAGTAAACATACAACTAAACTATATAAGCATACAATAACTATTTTTCCATTGTGACCAAAAAATCACTATGAAATTAAATTCCTTTTTATAATTCAGGTGTTTGTGTGTATCTGTTTAAAATTAAAATTAAACACAAAAATATCTTTCAAGATAAATTACCCTGCCTCTTGGTCAACTGCTTGGAATAATGTCACTAGAGTCTCAAAATTGCCCAGTTCCCTCAGCCTCTGGGGAAATTAGGGAAACAAAAATGATTGAGAACTTTTATAGAATAAAATGAGGAAGTCTGCCTATTAGTAGGCATTATCAGCAAGCCAACATTCCACCTATCCTGAAAGACCTGAATTTTCTATCAAGTTAAATAATACACTTTTTTTAAAAGAAGACCATCAAGACTAGCAACAAAACAAAACAAAAACATTAGCACCAAAACTGAGCATAGGATTTTATTTTTACTGGAAGAAGAGAGCAAATGTAAAATATTAAATAACCTTTCATCCAATTTCATATCTCAATGATTCAGTTTAAAAATACCACAAAAATGTAGTCGTAAAGAGGACATGTTTTTTGTCAATCATGTAGATCAGGGGTAGGCAACCTTGACTCTTTTATGACTCGTGGACTTCAACTTCCAGAATTCCTGAGCCAGCTGGCTCAGGAATTCTGGGAGTTGAAGTCCACGAGTCATAAAAGAGCCAAGGTTGCCTACCCCTGATGTAGATAAAACTTCTGTAGTGTCCCAGATTCTTTGATATAAATATGGAATTCTTCTTTATAGACTACTATTAGATTACTTAGCCACATCACTCTTGAATAGCTTGCTCCTACATCACAGGGCTGTTAATATGTATAAAAAAATATTTTATCTTACTCTCTTTTCTTTATTTTGTCTGAAGATTCTTTTATTTCTGATATTTGTAATTTGTTCTAGGAGTATTTTCAGATGAATAGAGAGTATAAGAGCTTTAAATACTTTGGTATATATAGAAAATAGAAATAAAAGATCACATTGATATTTAAACATTTTTTATGAATATAAAAATATCTTCAATAGAGCTTAGAGTATCTTGGTTAAATACATATCCAAGTTATTCACCTGATTAAAACTGATTAAAAGTTTTAACCTGGAAAGTCAATTACTGACCTGATTCATCTAACCTGTTAAGTCACAGTTTATTAACTAAACTACAATTATCTGGGTTCACAATATTAATTCATAACATGATTTGTGTAATCTATGTAACACATTTGCAAAACATAGCTATGGCTTAGCAGAATGTATGAACCTAACTCAGAAAACTATAGTTAAAACAAGCCTTGGCTTAGGATAAGAATGAACTCAGCAAACCTCTCTTGTAAAAATTATGGTATTATCATCAACTATGAGATAAAAGGGAAAAAATGCAAGCAAAGTGTCAGCAATATGTTGATAGGATCACTTTTTGATAAGTAAACTAGCATTATAGAAGACACAAACTTCAGGCTGCTAATTTTACTAATCTCTTTCACTCTTGCACCTTTTTTTTTTTATTAGCTTAATAGTTTTAGGAAAAACTGAAAAGCCTTTTCACCTACTATAACTTTCAAGGTTTCCCCCCCATCTTTACAGAGGAATAGATCCATTTATATCTTTTTTTAAAAAAATTACTATTCCTGCACTGATTTTAACTTTAAAAGAAATGCAGAATTGAATTCTTGTGAAGACAGTCCTTGGGAGAGAGAAAATCAAAACACAACACAAAATGTAACTAACATTTAAAAAAAAATTGCAGACGTGTCTGGGTGTGCGTCCCATAGGAGGAGCTGCAGTTATATGATTTGCAACAGAACTCAGGCATTAGAGCAGCAATGGATTGTTGATATTGAGAAGAAAAGAAAGGAATTATTCACAAAAAAATGCCAAATGCCACATGCCATTTCCCACAGCATTCAGTAAAGTAAAAAGTCTCCTTCAAATTGAGCTTGATTCTCAATGACTACAGTCCATGGTTAGGGTCCATGTAGTTTTCTACATAACAACATGGAAGAATTTGTTATCTTCTTTGAAGATGTTTCCACCTCCACCCCCGCTTTCTATTTCTTCTATTTCAGCGGTTCTCAACCTTTTCTTCACCAAGGACCCCCTTTAAATACCCTTTGTGGTCATAGACCATGGCCAGGGACCTGCAAGACTTAACTCGATGTTTAAATAATAACATTTCTTCAAGCTTTCGCAGACCCCCTGTGGGCCCCCAGGCGTTGGCAGACCGCAGGTAAATAACCACTTTTCTATTCCATATCTTCCCATCCATGCTCTAATCTGATCTGGTCCAACCTAGTGTAAATTCAAATCCGAAAAAAGGCTGCATTACCTTCTCACTGCACTGCCTTCAATGGCTTCTATGACAGACAAAACACTCAGCTGATACCAATCACCACTCTCTCCCCACACAAAAGAAGCAGGAGGCTTCAAGGAAAGTATGACATTTGAGTTCTGTGTAGAGGACCAAAGAGAAATGAGAGGAAAAAGGAAGAACAGGAAATTTAGGGATACAGGGCTGGAACAGGAAGTGTGTGTGGGGTGGTCATGGTACTGATAGAAAAGGTGATACTAACTAAACCATGTGGAGCAGGGGTAGTCAACCTTGGCTCTTTTATGACTCGTGGACTTCAACTCCCAGAATTCCTGAGCCAGCTAAGCTAAGCTAAGCTAATTCCTGAGCCAGCTGAGCTAAGCTGGCTCAGGAATTCTGGGAGTTGAAGTCCACGAGTCATAAAAGAGCCAAGGTTGACTACCCCTGGTGTGGAGGATAACAAAAAAAAAAAGAATTTAGGCAGTCCACTCAGGAAGAACATGGGGGGCATTCCACATTCAAGAAGCCCTACGATCACACACGAAAAAGGAAAACAAGACGGCTTGGAATCTAAGGGCTAGAAGAAGATTTAAGCCAAGTCTTCCCCGACTTCCTGACTGGAAGCTTCATCCCCTAAATCAGGGATCCTCAACCTTGGCAACTTTAAGACTTGTGGACTTCAACTCCCAGAATTCCTCAGCCAGCAGCTGGCTGAGGAATTCTGGGAGTTGAAGTCCACAAGTCTTAAAGTTGCCAAGGTTGAGGACCCCTGCCCTAAATACAATATAGTCGTGCCTTTGTGGCTCGGGTAGACAGCAGGTTTCCACGGACCGGGAGGACAGAATTCTGCACATGTGCCGAGCGCTAATCCCCCGCACGGATTTTACAGACGCCCGCAGGAGACAGAAGAACGGCCGACTCGGGATCGCCATCGGAGGCAAACCAGGGAGAGGCGCCTCCCGGCGAAGACCCCAGGCCTTTGGGGAAGGGGAGGCATCCCCCCCCAACCGATCCGGGGAAAGGGAGAGAAGGACGGGCCAAGGGCAACTGCGCAAAAGCTGTCTGTACCCACTTGCGAGCTGAGATAGCGCTTGAGGCACGCTTCGCAGACCGGCTTCTTGCAACACGGCAGCGGCTTCAGGGGCTTCTCCTCCAGACAGACGCGGCAAGAGAGCACCAGGAGGGGGCCGGAGATCAGCCCGGAGAAAGATTCGGGCAGAAGGTACAGGTCAACCTCGACGTTTCCGGAAGGGGTCCCTTTTCCTCCAGCTCCCACTACACTTGGCTGGGAGGGCGGCGGCGGCGAGACAGCGGGCGGGGGGTCTCCTTGTCGGCCCTCTCCTGGAGTTGGAGGAGCAGGCGGGCCGTCGTGGGACTGCTCGCTCTCCGCCCGGGAGACGGGCCTCAAAGGAAGCCGGCAGCTGTTGCTACTTGGTGCTTCCGAGCGTGGACCCTCCTCCGAGGGAGCCCCGCCACCGTCGCCGGCCTCCTGGCCTTGCGGTTCAGCAGGCGGCGGTCCAGCATCGTCCTCTTGCTGTGGCCTCGGTGTCCTTCCACTGACGGTGGGGAGCGGAGGTTGAGTCTCCGTGCCGGAGAGACGCGGCTGGGGGGCGGCTCCGTCTGGCTCCGGCGGGGAGCTGGCCGTGCTCAGACGCTCCCCCATGCCCGCCGCCCCTGCAGCCACCCGCGCCGAAGCTGCTTCCCATCCAGTTCCCAAGCCGGAACTGGCCTTCGCACCCAAACCGCGAGAGAACTCCTTCCCGAAGCGACCGTCGGGATCCCTGCAAAGCAAGCCAGGCGGAGCAGCCACTCGCAGGTCTCCTCGCCGAGGACCCGACGCCCTGACGCGGCACCGCCTCCTCCTGTTCGACTCGCCGAGTTCAAAGAGAAGGAGCTCCGCCCCCCCCGCGCCGCGCGCGCACGACACACCGCCTCGTATTACCTACCTTCCTCTTTGCGGGATGGTATCCAGCTCGCGGGCGCTCCTACCATTCCCCCCCCCCACTCTCTTCGACGTTTCAGTTCAGTCATAATAATGCCACCTTTCTCTTAGCTTGTGTGTGAATGGGACATACGTGCAGCCTAGATTTCTTTTTCCCGAAAGGGATTGTTTTTGAAAGAGCCTTAGTTTCCCTGAACTCGCCGCCTCATTTGATTAGCTTTCCTTTTCAAATAGTTGAAGTTATGCAGGTTTAATCAAAAGTGCGAGGGAAAGGGGAGGGGAGGGGCGGGGAGGAATCAAAGTTGTTAAACTGAATAAGCGTGATATTTATATATTATTTTTATATCGTATATTAAGTTACCCCTCACCGATTTACATCAGGGATTTACCTTAAGCCACAGCCTGGCTGATTTTGATTAGCCAAGCTGTGGTAAGGAAAGATTGTTCAATAAGGTCATTTTAACCCACGATCGGCTGAGTAAACGAAAGAAATCAAACAGGGCTGCTGCCGTCACTAAGGAGGATCAGGAAAAGAACAGAAGGCAGCTGAGAAATGCTACCTTATAGGAGAGAACTCAGGAGAGAACAGTTACACTGGATGAAAATAATGATTACATTGTAACTAAAATATAAAAATTATAATAAAATACGTAGGTAAATAACAGTTATATTAGAAGTAAAATGTTCTCTATGAGTTGGTGGCCAGCCAACTTAGACTGTCAATTGAAAAAAGAAAGTGAGAACTTGTCAAGCAGGACAAGTGGGGAGGTAGTACAGCTGGCTTAAATTTTAAGTCAAAGCACTCTAGCACTTAATATTTTTTCTTGCTTACATGTAGTTTCTTGCTTACATATAGACATCCCTAAGTTCTCCACTTTTATTTTATTGAACAATAGCTAAACGGTAGGTGTATTCACAACTGGTATACAGTAATGTGTAGAAAACCAGAAGCATATAGAAATAGGACTCAATTAGTATCAGGACTTAGAAATAATGCTTTTGATTGATCTGTAAACATTTTGCTTGCCACAGGTTTCCAGAAGTGATTTTTCAGCAACAAACGTTTCTCAGAACTTTTATGTTAATATCTATACATTCTGAGACTTTTGGTTTACCATCGCAGCCGCCGCGGATGCTGGAAGGCAAGCTCCGTCTTCCGCATTCGATTTCACACCGCTGGGGAACTCTGGAAAGAGTCGAAAGTCGCCCTGTAGGGGCAACCAGCAACCGCTTGATCACAAGAGGGCGGTAGTCCTTCTGCTCGATCCGGGGCAGCCCTCCAAACTGGCAGACAAAAGACCGGCCATAGAAATATGGCTTGTCACTAGGCTGAAGACAGCCAAAGTCAAACTTACCACTAGGTACTCCAAAGCAGCGCAGATGAGACTGGGTGACATCTGAACCTCTCTTTAATCCCAAGTATTTTTTTTTCTCCTGCAAAAGCTGCCCAAAGTATCTTTCCCCCTGTGAGGAGAGAGGGAAGGGAACTTTTATCCCTCTAAGAATAGTGGCGACTGACTATCCAGGGGAGTTAAAACACTGAAAGAATAACCTTAATCTAACTGGATTTATATGCTTCTAGAATTTGGGGACCAAAAGATTTCTTATCCTTATTGAAGACTTTGGTTTTTATTTACAAAAAAGAAATAAAATTGGAAAAAGGATTACAAAAATTTTGGACTTAAAAACCTTAAATGGCATTGGGGACATCTTGTGGCTAAGTTTGATATTACAACTTGTTATTGTCTAAGGAGACTTGGCTGGAAGCCCAGACTACAGATAAGACTTTTTCAAACTTGACAATTATCAGCTGTGAGAAGCTCAGCTGTGTTCTATACTCAGTTATAAAATTATTTTCATTCTCTGACTTTAAAGCTCTTAATTTAATACACTACTAAGAGAATATGGATGAAGACCAGGAACAGATTCTCCTTATGTTAAAAGCAATACATGAAACCATTCTTTCAGCTTGTGATGAAATAAGATGCTACAGAAAAGAACAAGATGTCAGCTTAGATATACGAACTCAAATTTTGAATACAACTAAAGAATCAACTACAGAAAACATAACAGAAGAAGTGGAACAATTAAATACTATGACAGAGGATTCAACTGACCAACAAATGCAGTCAATGGAAAGTCCAGAAAAGGGACTGACAACATTGAAAATGGAAAAGACTTTCTATATAAACCAGAAGAAACTTGAGGAGCAAGAAGAAGAAGAACAGACCGAAGGGAAGATAAACATACCAGGACAATTATGGGGATCTGGAATAATAGAGAGATGATTTGTTAGCCCTTCCCCCAAAGGTCTCTTTTATTTCAAATAATATATATAATAACAGAGGGAGATCTATTTGATGACCTTAAAGCACTGACATGGAGGGCGAGATGGCAAAGGAAGAAAGCTAGAATAAAGCTGAAGAAAATTGGGGTTTTGATTTATCAGCGAGGATTTTATATTACTAATTAAAATAGAATATACTTAAATAGACAAGATGTGTACTTTGAATACCAGATTTTTTTATGAATTGAGATAAAGAAAACTTTGGTCATTTAAAACTTGGAAGTATAAATACTAAAAGTTGAATTTGAATATTGATGGGAAATTAAAAATTGGGGAAAACAAATAAGGATATTGATTGTTTATAAAGATTGAATGTAAAAGTAATTAAGTTATGTAATAAGCTAAAAATTTATTGATAAATGTAATAAATATGTTTTTATTTAATTAAGATAGTAAGAACTGTATTAGCTTAAATATGAGATAGTAGATATCAAGAGAAAAAGAGGAAATATTTGATGTTGAAATAGGGGAAATTTTGGTCATTAAATTTAAGACATTTGGAAACTAGTTGAAAATAAGAAATGTTATACTGTATTATTAATTAGATGATGTAAGATGGTGGGAAATAGAATATACTCAAATAGATAAGATGTGTATTTTGAATACTAGACTTAGTTAAAAATTGTGATACAGGAAACTTTGGTCACCAAAAATTTGGAAATTATAAATATCAAATGTTAAATTTAAATAGTGACAGGAAACTAAAAATTGGGAAAAACTAACTACTGGACATTGACTGTTTATAAAGATTGAATGTTAAAATAACTAGGATATGTATAAGCTAAAAATTTATTGATAAATGTAACAATGCTATCTTTACTTAATGGATACAATAAGAATTGTATTAGTTTAAATATGAGACAGTAGATATTAAGGGAAAAGGAGAGGAAATATTTGATGTGGTAGTTTGAGATTTGTACTAAAGATTTTTGTATGTTATTGAATCATTGATTAACCAGCCGCCACGTTGCTTTTTAAATACTTAAATGTAAAATTAGAAAATCAATAAAATATTACAAAAATAAAATAAAATAAAATCTATACATTCTATATTAATTTCAAGAAAGAAATGTATACTCAGCAGGTGTCATAGAGAGCAATTTTGAGAAGAACGTAAGTAAAACATAAGTAAAATCAGAGGTTTTTCATTTTCAAATTCCACGCTTCCGTTAGAATCCCATCCAAACTTCATTTGGATCTGTGTATGTGAAAGATCTTTTGACTGAAGTGCCCTATAAAAACGATAAGAACATCAGACTTTGAAGTTAATTCATTGTATACATGCATCACTCACCAATGCATTGTTTAAGTTAAGATTTGTTTCAGTTAAGATTTTATGAACAATGATATTCTGTTTCACACAACAGCCATAAATCAAGATTTATAAGCTGCACTTTCTGGATTCACATAATGCACTAAGTCAGAACAATATGTTATCATTTGATATAGCACATGATTAGTTTCACCTAGTCTCTCACTATGCTATTATTGTTTAATCCAAGTTGAATATCATATTTGCATTAGTTACCATCTTTTTATGACAATTTCTGTATTTTTAACAACAGCCTAATATTGTTAGAGTATAACAAGTCTAGCAAGTATAACAGTACATAGAATTAAGCAAAGGAAAAAGTTTTATTATTTTTATTTTTTAACTTAAAAAAAACTCTGGGCACCTCTTGCAGCTATCATGTTTAAGAAAAATCCATTCTATGGAATCCTTTGCTGAAGATGCTATTTCTTTATCAAGGGAATTAATTAACAGTGAACATAGTAAAGGGATAGAGTCCCAAGGGACAAACTTGGCAACAGTGTGAAATGCCTGAGAAAGTTAAGAAATGTATTAGATACAATTGAACATAGATGAAATACACTTGAGTATTTTATTAGAGGTGTTGGCTGGAAGATGCAAGACCATTTTGATCTTTGGGATTCCTTTTGGTTTCTACTGTAATCTATTGCTTTAGACTGCAGGGGTTTATACTGTTTCTACTGTAATCTATTGCTTTAGACTGCAGACTTGTGGACTTCAACTCCCAGAATTCCTGAGCCAGCCATGCTGGCTCAGGAATTCTGGGAGTTGAAGTCCACGAGTCATAAAAGAGCCAAGGTTGACTACCCCTGCTTTAGAGGCTAGAAGAGTCAACACAGATAATTCCTGAATTATTCACTGTTCTGAACAACTAAGTTTGAGTCACCCTATTGTGTCAAGCACTTAGTTTAGATTAAAAGCAATATATTTATTTTTCCTGCAGTTTTCCATAAAGTCAGTCTGCTTATATTTCATAGGACTTTATGAGATTTTTCACAATCATTTTGTACTTAGAACTATACTTATTGTTTAAAGTTAGCATACTATACTTGTAAATTGGAG